CCTGCAGAGGAGGGGGTGCCTGCTGGCTCTCTGTGCTGGAAACAGTGTGGAACGAACAGTCCGGTACGTTGGGTGAGGGAGTGTCAGCCTCATACGATGACAGAGACAGGCTCTCCCAAAGTTTATCTGGGACTATGTAGGCGATTGCAAGCTGGGACATAGGTGCTATAGGAGATGACAGGGCTATCCAGAGAGGCTGGGATTCAGGGAAGCTTAAAGGCAAAGTGAGGAGGGTCAGAGAAGTTGTTTCGAAACCGTTACCCTTGGCTACAGGGATCAATAGCAAGGGGGGCTTGTGTCCTCGTAGAGGACATGAAGAAATCGAGGCCACAGAAGCCTGAAGTCAAACCGATGTTGTGTGACACAGAAAGAACTTCCGCCCGGCTCTTAGACCCCGTTGCCTGCGAAACGTCTACCCAGAGATATTTGCCAAACCTGAAAAAAATAAGATTTTAATCTGCTGTAAAGTCCCAAAGTATTCTCTTCTCACGTGTCACTCCAGCCCATCACATTCGCAATGTGTGACATCCTTCAGGTGGAAACGTATCCAGTTTACAGATGAGAAAGCAGAGGCTCGGGGAACTCGGGCAGCTGGCTCTGCCACGGAACACCCAGTCCCTGAGCTCCAGCCCGGCGTTCTTCCACTTCCCCCACACCCAACTCCTACAGCCCCGTCATTTTCCTCTGCAATGTATCTGTCCTAACGCCCTAGATTTTTATAAAGTCTTTTAATATTTAATGGTGGCTGAAACAATGATTTTAAATATGACCCACATCTTGGCACAGTTTTCAACAGTTGAGTGCTTTAACACCCTGAATTTTTCCTTAATTAGGTAAAACTTTTAGGACGCCATGAGGCTCTATCCTGTGCTTGTCAAAATGTGAACGATGAGGTCACACATCATTGGAGAAAATGCTTTTTCTTTCCCTCTTTATGCGCAGGCATGCCCCATCTATCACCAGAGTGACACTTTCAATCAACATATAAATGCTAATATTACCCCATGTCCTCAATCAATCCCCTCCAGTGGAAATCACACCTCCTTACTGCACGGTCCATTTAACCGTCTCAGTGCACAAACTGTTGGACATTTGTCACAAAGTGTCTGTGAGATGACTGGCCCTCCGATGAGCAGCCATCCTGGGTTCTTAGTTTTCCCAATCGTTACCTAATGGCCCTATGGGAAAGGGGGCAAAAATGAAGTCAATCAGCATTGAAGAAAACCATTTCCACTGGGCCACAGCAACCCAAACACAGGCTGTCGTTCACCGCAGGCCACTCCTCTGCCACCGACGGACCCATGAATTCAAGGAGGTGGTTATGGGGACTTGGCTGTCAAAGCAAGACTTGAAAGAGATGGTTGTTCAATGCATGAAAGAATACCTGGAATAGGCGAGAATGCTTTGTAGTTTGCCTAAAGCCCAAGAAGTATAGGATGAAACCCAACAATAACGAGGAACAGTCACACCCCGGAACTCAATTCCACACTTGCAGTGCTGCAGAGAG